TGAAGAGAAAATAAAAGCAAGCAGGCCTACTTAAATACAGCTACCCATAAGGGCCCGGCAAAGCTGAAGACTGGAATGGTCTGAGAAGAAAATAGTGCTTACAGGCTACAATGAAAAACTCATTAAGAGCAAATAAAGCTGCTAAGTGCCCCGAAGCAGAAGCCCAGAGTAGTAGCTACAAATTTTAGCAAGTGGGCAGCTGAGTTCTATTCCCGGTAAAGACATGCAACTATGTGAGGTTTTTTGTTTTGCTTTTGCACTATAAACCAGTTAAGATTTTTAGACCGCTTATAGCCAAAGAAATTGAAATCAGAATGTCAAAGAGGTATCTGCACTCCCATGTTCACTGTGACATTATTCACAAGGGCCAAGACATAGAAACAAGTAAAGTACCTATCAGCGGACCAATGGATTAAATAAATGTGGTGTATATATACAATAGAATACTATCCCGTCTTTTAAAAAGCAGGAAATTCTGTCTTTCGTGACAATATGGGGGAAACTCGAGGACATTATGTTAAGTGAAATAAGTCAGCCACAGAGACACACATACCAAATAATATGACTTATCTGTGGAATTTAAAAGTCACAGAAATAGACTTATAAGAACAGCACATAGAAGCAGAGAGTAGAACAGTGGTTGCCAAAGCATGCAGGGAGGGGAAGAGATGGGGAAGAAGAAGATGTTGGTAATAGGCATCAAAGTTTCAGTTCAACAGAAGAAATAAGATCTGGAGATTTAGTGCACAGCACATTGACCATAGTTAATAATGATGTATTTTATATTTCAAAACAGCTAAAAGAAAGGATCTTAATCATTCTCACCACAATGATAAACATTTGAGGTGACAGATATGTTAACTAGTATGATTTGACCAATGTATACATGTCATGAAACATCACACTACATCCCATAAATACAATTATTATTTGTCAATTAAAAGTAATAAAAGACTTTAAAATAAAAAAATATTTTAAGACAAACTTATTAACTTGGCATAGTCCAAATTATATAGCTTTCAGAATTTGGCAGATAAAAACAAGTATAAGTCAAGGACAGGTGTAATAGTATGGAGGAAAAACAAGTGAGACAAAATGAATACTTGAGTCCTCCATCACAAAAATGCATAGCTAAAACAATAGTTCAAAGCTGTTAATTTTCAAAAGCAGGAGCAAACAACTACTTTCAAACAGAATCATTAAGACTAAATTCAGTAACATATTAAATATCCTATCTTTTTAAATATAGAATAGAATGAAATATTGTGAACATGGTGAAAAAAAGTTCCAAGGCTTATGAAACCTTCAAAAAGTAATACACATTTTAAAAAGTAGGTATAAATATAGAACGTATGAGAGGGTTTTATGGAGCTTTCTTTTCACATGCCAAATTTGTTCAGGCATATCCCTTAGTCATAGTTTGGTATCAAAGGTTTCTTTACCTTCATCTATCTGAAATAAAGTTTACCCCTGGACCCCGAAATTAGTATTTTCAATATTCTTTAGGGACATTCAAATTTTCTCAATATACTTTCACACAAATAACAAAATCATGAGTGACAGTCTCAAGGTGAAACCTAATTACATTTGCCCAAGGCAAAACCTTGAGCTAGAAGAGCTAAGAATTGTCAGTCTAGTAATATACTTACTTGGAAAAAAAAAATGGGACTTCAACAATGCGATCAGGCAAAATAATTATTAAAGCAAAATAATCTGTGCAGGATTAATAATACATTTAGCTTGCAAAGTAAAATTTTAGTGGATGCTGGAAGTAAGTGAACAAAAAGGAAGACTTTTCACCAAGCAAAGCATACTATCTGATTTGTCAGGGAGAACAAAATTACAAATCAAAACTCCATTTTCCAAACAGTGGGAGATAATTTTATTCCCATGTTTTAGCTAGATCTACAGAGTCAGAGGATCTCCTTGACCACCTAAGATTAACTACCATTTTTTCTCCCTCATTTTTCAGACTAGGAAAGTAAAGTCCACATTGGTGACTGGTAATTCAGATTGGACTAGGTAATGCCACACTCGGGACTCAAGTATAGGCGATCTACAAGACAGCCTAGTATTCTTCCCACCAAGCACCACTGCTTCATCACACAAAATGTGAAAACTCGCTATCTAAGAAACTATTTCATGTATTCTGGGCCAAAATCCACTCCATGACAGCTTGGCACATAACTGATTTGACCACCCATAGTGTGCCTTACATATGCCATTGTTATAAACACACTAATTGCAAAGTACTCACAAATGTAAAATTTTCTCTGATTTAATACCCACAAATATATATGTGTGTAAATAATAATTTTGCTCAAGAAAATACCACAAAACCCATCATGTGAGTATCAGGTGGCTTTCACACTAATTTGAATACAGAGAACTATTCTAGTTATTTCCTTGTGCTTTTTTCAGGCTACGTAGTATTTTTAAACTCCTATTTGGAAAGTACACAAAGGGTTGCCTTGTATAGAACATACCTAGTTAACATAAAATAGAAAGTAGTTACTTGTTTTTAAAAAGACTTTGACTCTTTTAGTTATAGAGATACTGACTTCAAACCAGTAGCAAATATAGTTTAGGTGATTTTTCTCACAACTCTGTCAGTCTAAAAATGCTCTCTTCAACTTAACTGTGAGACAGTCATGGAGATGGTTTAAAATTCATATCTACCTTTTAACAGTGGTGCAAAAACAATGAGTTGGAAGCTAAAAATAAATGGAAATGGAAATGTGTGGAACAATCCACCTATCACGTAAGAAAAGGAGAAAATAATATGTATGCCTATTTACTCCTACTTGCAATCAGAAATGAAAGGATGCATTAAAAATTAAAAGTAGTTAGTTATGGAGTAGAAGTATAACAAAAAAGAAGTAAGAATTCTCAATGTATAAGTTTTTTATCATCTTGAATTAGAACCATGTGAACATATTATTCATTCCAAAAATTTTGGTGTTAAAAAAATAGATGTGCAAACAGCTTTTGTGCAGTGACAACATATCCACAGTCAATTATGACTTAATTATAATCTTCCTGAGGATGGAGAGACCCATGTATGCTAGGGTTTTCTTTGGTTTCTTTGTACTGTTTTTTTAAAGAGAGAGAGTCTTGCTATGCTTGCCAGGCTGGAGTATAATAGCTATTCACAGATGCGATTATCGTGTCCTACAACTCCTGGGCTCAAATGATCTCCTGCCTTAGCCTCCTGAGTAGCCAGGGCTATAGCCACATACCCCCATGCTCGCCAGGTAGCATCATGTATTTTCAGTATTCTTGGCCAAGGGCTCACATCTGTAATCGCAGAACTTTGGGAGACCGAGGCAAGAGAACTGCTTGAGCCCAAGAGTTTAAGACCAGCCTACACAACATAGCAAGACCTTGCCTCTACAAAAAATCAGCTGGGCATAGTGGCATGCAACTATAGTTCCAGCTACTCAGGAGGCTGAGGTGGGAGGATCACTTGAGCCTGTGGTGAGCCATGATCCTGCTACTGAACTCTAGCCTAGGCGATAGAATGAGACCCCAGTCATACACACACACACACACACACACACACACACACCAACCTTCGCAGCCTAGGGCAAAGCCTAGCCACAAACACTGTATAACACATGTCCAATTAGCCCATTTGAAATGAGCATTCTAAAGGTTTCGGAAACAATATTCTACAACCTGGATATAGTAGCAACTTCCACATGGGAGAATGAAAAGGCAAGGAATGGAAAGGGGGAGATTTAATGTACCTTCTTCATATTTCTCTTACTGCTGACTACATCTTAGAAATCATAAAGGGTAACACAGTCTATGCTCAGTCCTCCTGGATAAATATTCTAAGTAGACTGACTGCAAGTTGAAACATAACAAGCTACTGATACTCTTAATATTAAATATTTTAACAAACAGCTAATGTCAAATTTCAATTAAGTACTGTACTAAAAGTCACAATGCAAGACATGTTTAGCTCTCTCATTAATATAAATATACAACAACTGCAGCCAGTACATTTAGGCTCATTTGTTCTCCATATCTCTGGAATTTTTTTTGAACATTCATTTCCATCCCTGAAGCTATCTTTAATATCTTTTGCTTCTTCATTAAATGCTACTGTGACGCTACATCAAATCTTAAAATAAAGAAATAAGAATTACTGTTCTATTTTTTTTTTAATATGCTGGTCCATCAAAGGTCAAACAAGTGAAAAACTACAAGAATTCTTCTCAGGATGTGATTTATAATTTCCACACCTAAAGGCTTAAGAGGTTCCTAATACAAAATTTAACATTACGACAGTGATTCTCAGGTATGATATCATTCTACCCTGGAATCATTGTTTCAAAGGCATGCTGAAAAAAGCTCTTTAAAAATGTAAATATCATTTATTTCATTAACTGATTCTCTTATCTAGTGAAATGTCCACTTTTGGGAATTAAGCAGTATGACAGGATGATATTATCATGTGTGACAACTATATCAAAGACAATAGAAAACTGCCAACTTTAGGGTCACCAGGGCATATGTTGATTTATATAGAAGTATTCCTTCTTACAAGGCTTTCAACTTTAATATAATAAATTTAAACTTGTATCTATGATCTAATAATTGCTATGGAAAGAAATTTAACTAAAAAATTTAAGTTGAATCAGGAAACTATCAATCTATTCAAACCTTGGTATATTCATACCAAGAAACACTACTCAGTAATAAAAGGAACAAAGTGTTGAAACAAACAACTTGGATGAATCTCCAGAGAATAATCTTGAGTGGAAAAAGTCAGTTCTCTCGTCCCTGCTGCTATCACAAAGGAAAAAAGTTTGTATCTCTGTGGACTTCCCCAGCAGAAGGACAAATGGAACCGGCAAAAAGACAAAACAGTCACAGAAAAGGAAGTGTCAGAGAAAACAAAGTAGTAAGTAATATGCTTATTAATAAATATTTAGACATATTTAGAGACACACTAAATTTCACTCAGTATTAATTCAAGATGGAAACCTTACCCGATGCTTTGCCTTAATTTTCTTTCTATATTCTTCTTTGTCAAATTTGTCCTCTTCCTGAAGTCTTTCCTTTGCTTTATCTATGTTGATACCACCAGTGTCACCTTCCTCCTCAGTATCCTTCATGGTGGATTTCTGCATTTGTGGCCACTGCTGAACCAACTACAGATCAAAAAAAAAGAAGTTTTTAAAAAGTTGAGTATTGAGCAGGAAACCTGGAACAGCACAGAAAACCATTTCCTTTTGTCTGATAATTCCGAAATGCATATACACACTTTCTGCCTTACAACCTGTATTTCTTAAGCTAACAAATTTCATAATTAAAGTGAGCAAGACACAGAAAACACTGTCCCAATCAGTGTAGAATAATGCTGCCCTAACCCAATGAGAACAAGATTAAAGAAAAAGTTCACAAAACAATCTGGAAAAGAATATAGCTACAGAACAGAAATGCATCAACAACTTCTCAGACGGGATTCTCAGTATCCTGCTCTCCACACAACTCAGTTCGAGCATCCTGGAGCAGACCCCAGCCTGACTAGCATGTAACTCCTTTGGGCTACCTCTCACGCATAGCACATCACACCATGCTGTCTGACTTTCCTGTTTTTCTTACTAGAATTAATCTCCTTAAGAGCGGTTGTATGTCTTGTTCACAATCCTCAAAGCCCAACATAGTATCTGGCACATATTAAACAGGTACTTAAAACTGATCAACAATTCACATATTAACCAATATTACACACACGAGTAAAATAATTAAATGTAAAGGAGTTTGGGTTTCACAGGCCTGCTCAAATCCACACGATTTTATACATACATTTTATGGTAAGGAATAAGGTGACCTAAAAGACAGGGCACAGATCCAGGAGTCAGGGGACCTGCCTGACTGTGCCGGCTTTTTCACTAGCCTACTGTATAGAGCTGAATAAATTACTTAAACTCTGGACATCTGTGTCCTTTCCGGAAAAATTAAGAAGTTTGTTTGACTCAATAATTTTCAGGTTTAACGTTATAGAACTCCACCGACAATTCAGACAAAAACTACTCCCTTATTTTATCTAATAATTGGTTGCCAGAAGGATTTAAATTGCTGCTACTATTTGGAAAGACTGTTAATTAACCTGCAGGCAAATGGAAATTGTAGGGAGACACATGGCAGGAACGAATGGTTCCTCTCTCACTCTTGCAGCCACCACAGCCATCCATCAAGATGAGAGTCCTACAGAGTCTCAACCTTTGGCAACCAATGGGAGTGACATATTACTGCAAGAGCAGCCATGCCAGCAGTCACTGACCCTAAAGAACCAGTGATCTGAATCAGGGTAGGAGATTTAGAGTCAATTATACTCAGTGATCTATCACAGAAACAAAGAAGAAGAGTACCATGTGTTCTCACTCATAAGTGGACGTTGAATCATTATCATAATACTATAAGAAAGGGATTGGCAGTAGTGGGAAACTGCCAGGGGAGGGAGGTGGGATTGGTAGTTGAGGGAAACTGTCAGCGGAGGGAGGGGCGCACCTTATCAACAAGGGTACCTGTGTAATGAACATTTGTAAACCTAACCCTGAATTGTACCCCACATCTTCAAAATAAAGAAAAGAAAATGTTTAAAACAAAAAAAAAAAAGAACCGATAAGAGGGATCAGTTGAAACAGCAGCAATTTCATCCATTACTTGGACTCCTCCCTAATGCCATCACAGAGGGGAAAAAGTATCCCCCTGAGGGCTGAATGAACATTAGCATTTCTTTCAGAGCTTTAGGTCAGAAGTTTCTGTATGGCTCACAACCACAAAGGGCTTCTACAGGTAGTAAGTATACACTGAAACATTTTATAGTTAAGGATTTACACTCATCTTAGAGCTAATTGGTATCATTTGTGTGGTTAAACTTAGCAGCACACTAAGGAACCTCATTATGCTAACAGTACTCATCTTACTTTACAGGGAACATCAGTTGTCACATGACTATTCTAGTTTAGCCTGCGTAGTAGGTCCTGACCTCTTTTAAGTAATTAAATAAAGATTCATTATGTGTCATTTATATAGGCTCCTTCTTAAGCTTCCAGCACCTCTGAATTGCACACTATTTTGTTACTTTTCATCTGACTTATACACCCCAAAATAGCATCCAAATCTTTAACTTCAAGATTAAAAGGAAAACATATTCCACTGGATATAGACTGCTTAAATAGCATGTATACTATATGAGGGATGATGAACTATATGATATGATCCAACATAGTCAATATGAAAAGCTGCTATTTTATTGAAAGATGCTTCATTCAACAAATTTCTCTAAAGGTTTATTACATTAAGCACTGTTCTAGGCACTGGGGATAGAAGAGTGAGCAAAGTTGACAAAAATATCTTCCCCTCATGGAAAGTAGAGTGGAAAAAAATTACATCAGTCAAACAGATTGTGAAGTCACAAAATACGCGCTGCAAAGAAAAGTAAGGTAGGGTGGAGGAAATGAGATGATGGGAATAGGGTGCTATGTGCTGCCTTAGGATGGTCAGGAGAACCCACAGGCTAGTGAGAATGAAGCCTGAGATGATATGCAAAAGCATCTGCCATGACCACTAAATGGTCATCACGCCTAGAGGAAGTCACTGGATGGTCAGGATCTATTTTATCATTTAAAAATGATGATACTTATTATGTCAGAGTGAGCCTTCATGAGTAATTTGTGAGTGATCACTCCTTCCTCACACTGTGAGGACCTGCTTAAGATACGGCCAAGACAAAGGTGGAATGAAGACAAGCACCTCTGCATCTGAGACTGCTTGAAAGCAAAGAATTCCCTCCCAGAGCCAGTCCAGCAAAAGCATGAAAGGACTACATCTAAAACTGAAAAAGTGCAGAGCGGAGACTTTTTAGAAACAATCAAAAGAATCTGTGGCAAGTAGTTGTGTTAGTAGACTTGTGCTTGGTTCCACAGAACATGCTCATGAATACCACGCTGAGAAAACCTTATCTATAAAAATGGAATTTAGAAAGTTCAAAGCCAACTCTTTTGGTATCACCAAGAAGTATCTCAGTTTATTGCCAGTAAGGCATCCTTGTCCACAGCTGTAGAGCTGAGGAAATGCATACAGTGACAGTGAAAAGAATGGCTCAACACGCTGAAGAGAAATGTTTACTCTCTCATTAATGAATGGCAAGTCAGTAAGAGCGTCAAACTCTTCATAATAATTGAATGGACCTCAGAAATGAAACATTTACAGAATCTTACCTCTCCTTCATCAGTAAACATTATTTTCTTATTCACTTTAAAATTTCTCTTCATGACTTTTTTTGCTTCTGCAACTTTGGTCACTTTTTTCTTGACACTGGATTTAGAAGATTCTTTCTTCTATGTGAGAACATACAAAAAAAACAGATGATTAGAGAAATGGTTGATTTATATTAACAATTTAACTCTGGCAATATATTTTCCAAAACTGAGTGCATTCATTGCTCACTGGCTAATGAGAAACACCAAAAAAACACCACTGTCTAGAAGCAAAAGTATTAGACTTCATAATCAATGACCCCCCCCCAAACTGAAAAGGGTTCAAGTGTGAATAGCAGGGATATAGACATAGAAAGCCTTTATATTTTCTTCTATTACTAGAATAATGTTGAAGCACCAGAATTTACATGATAATGTAATAAATGGATATAAGATAAGTAAAATTATCTTCTAGCCAAAATATAATACATATTTTTAAATTCCCAGTTGCAAACTTAAATTATTAGACTGAGAAAATGTACACTTGAAAAGCAAAATGACAGTAATGAATAGTTTACAACTCAACATTCTTCTATCAATTACAGTAATTTATTACCAGAAACACTGGAAAACTTTCTACAATAATTAAGCAGCGTCCAAAGGTGTCTGCTTAACAGGAAACACTGACTAAAAACAAGCTGATGTCCTAAAAATTCAAAGCCACTGTTTACTTATGCTAAATGAACGCTGAGTGAACCACCTGAGGTCTGGAGTGTGCAAAGGTCACAGCACAGCCTGCTTGGTGGCTCAGCCTGTAATCCCGTGCCTTTGGGAGGCTGAGGTGAGTGGATTGCCTGAGCCCGTGGGTTCGAGACCCACTTGGGCAGCGAGACTTCATCTCTACAATAAATCAAAAAATCAGCCGGGCGTGGTAGCGCATGCCTGTAATTCCGGCTACTCGGAAGGCTGAGGCGGAAGGATAGCCGGAGCCCAGAGGCTGCGGTGGCCGGAGGCGGCCACTGCACTCCAGTCTGGGTGACAGAGTGAGACTCCAACTAAAAAAAAAAAAAAAAAGAAAGAAAGTGACAAGAAGTAACTTACATTTGAGAAAGATTTGGATTACTCTCCTTGATTAAGAGCTAGTAATGCCACTGGTGGTACTTAGTTAACTAATCTAATGCAGCTTCCATTAGATAGAATGAGTATAAGTCTTTGGTGTAGTAGTTAAGAAAAGGGATTTGAGCTCAAGCTCTACTACTTAAGAGCTGGGTGAGAGCACATTACCTAACCCCTGTGTTTAGTTGTAAACTGAGGATAACAACAGCACATATCTCATATGGTTGTTGCAAGGATTAAACAATACATGTAAAACATAGAAAAATTGTTCACTAAATCTCAAACACCACTTTTATACACTGATTTATTTTTACTTTTATTTTTTGCTGCATAAGAAAATCATGCTAAGCAACCCCCTTGGATCCCCTCCCACTGTGGGAGCTTTTCTGTCCTCTCAATAAATCCCACTTTCCAAAAAAAAAGAAAAGAAAAGAAAATCATGCCAAATGCACAGAGGCTCAATTTGCTGATTTTAAACTCTGTACCCCAGTGACCCACACAAGGAAAAGAGAGAAGAGAGGAGGGACTAAAAAACAAGATTTGTCAGAAGCCTCAGAAAGCAGCGCATCGGTTACAAATACTACATTATGGTAATAAGCATACACGACAAGAAAAATTCATTTGATAAGATGCTGTTAGTCATGATCAATACATAAATACTTATAATGAAACACCATAAAATTAAAAAGAACAAACTTACTAAAACAGAAGTTTGTGCCAAGTTATCAACGTATTATTTTTTTTGAAAATGGTCATGATGATGAAAGTCAGCTAGTGAATCCACAGTAATATAATTTAAGTACAAAAAAGTTGTTTTGATACTGATGGTTCTGTTATGGATATTACTACAACACTGCTTTTGTATTTCTGATTCAAAATGAAAGTTATGATAGCTAGTTACATTTATTCATTTCTCAGACTTTAAACAAATCAATTCCTATTTAAGAAGTTACCATTAAGAATTCCTGTTAAAAAGTTATAAGCAAGCCATATAAAGCTTATGAAAAGATTAAACATCTCTAAGGTAACATATCAGAGACATTGATCTGACACAGCACACCTATCTTGTGAGACCTCTATGGAAAGAGATTAAGTTTGATTTGGATTTCTCCATCCCTCCACCTCTGGGGTCCGTGACTCCATGAATGTTGGCATAAGGTCATGAGGCCCCAACTGCCGTGCCTGCTCCTCATGTCACCTCTCCTCCACTGTGCTTATTCTAAGGTACCTGACAATTGTTCTTCCTCAGTAAATATTATCATTTTCGTTTTCTTATCAATCTCACTTCAGAGAGTCATAGAGTAAGCTGTGTGGTGGTAAAACTCCTCAGCTGAAAAAGGATAGGGGGCAGGGAGTTTGTTAACTTAAACAAGTTGTCATGTAGAACCTCTGTGGGCACAGGAGATTAATAAGACCCCTGTTCCTTCAGCCCGGTCAGTACTCATACATTCCTTTTCCTCATATAGCTTTAGAGACTTCCACCAACTCAACCACCAGGGTTGGCAACTTCCTGACTGACTCTCTTTGCATCTCCTTAATTGCAGGGTTAAGGCAATTCTTAAGGATTCTTAAGGATGTTGGGCTGATCTCTCAGCAGACCTCATCTAATGACAGAGACTGCTGATCAAATAGTGCAAACTGAGAGCATCATCGTAAGGTCAATATAACAAGTAAACAGGAACATGTTACACTCATGTAACCCAGTAAACTACAAGTACTAGTATATGACATAAGCAAACTTTCTGGGGTGCTGGCAATGATCTGTCTCTTGATAAGAACTTAAGTTACACAAGTGCGTACTTTGGTCAAAACTCCTTGAATGTTACACGCAAGATTTGTGTGTCCTGGCGCAGTGACTCAGCCTGTATGACCAACACTTTGGGAGGCCAAGGCGAGAGGACTGCCTAAGCTTGGGGGTTCAAGATCAGCCTGGGAAACTTGGTGAGATCTCATCTCTACAATAAACCACAAAAAATAGATGATGGCATGCATCTGTAGTTCCAACTACTTGGAAGGCTGACGCAGAAGGATCACCAGCCCAGCAGGTAGAGCATGCCACTGCACTCCAGCCTGGGTGACAAGAGTGAGACTCCAACTCAAAAAAAAAAAAGATTTGCACATTTCATTTCATATAAATTTCTACCTCAAAAAAAGTCCCACAAACAAACACTGAACTGTAGTTAATGCTATGAAAGCTGAAATGTGTGGTGGAAAGTGTAATGATGTCGGCAACTCACCCTGAAATGCACTCAAGAAAAAAGGATAGATGAATAGATATACAATGCATAAAATATGGTAAAAAGGAGCCAGGCATGGTGGCTCATCCCTGTAATCCTTCTGTGAGGCAGAGGCAAGAAGACTCATAAGCCCAGGGGTTCGAGATCAGCCTGGGCAACTTGGCAAGACCTTGTCCCTACAAGAAATCAAAAAATTAGCCAGACCAGGCACAGTGGCTCATGCCTGTAATCCCAGCACTTTGGGAAGTGGAGGCAAGAAGCTTGCCTGTGCCCAGGGGTTTGAGATCAGCCTGGACAAACTGGTGAGATCTCGTCTCCACAATAAATTTAAAAATTAGCTGGGCATGGTGGCGTACACCTATAGTTCCAGCTACTTGGGAGACTGAGGAGGAAGGATCGCCTGCACCTAGCAAATTGAGGCTGTAGTAGCTGTGACCATGTCACTGCAGTCCAGCCTGGGAGACTCTGAATCTAAAAAAAAAAGTTAATTATAGAATATGGGCAGTGTATGTTATGTCTTGGTATCCAAAAGCATACTTTTCACAACTTTTCTAAACATTTGAAAATCTTCATAACAAAACACAATAGCCCAGTCGTAGGAATAAGAGGAAAAAATAGAGCAACGATAACAAAAAATTGTCAGAACAGAGTAAAAGTTGATCAGAAAAATAATTTTGCAGTAGAGTCTAGAATGAGGTGAGTTCAGTTGAAGAGCTCTGAAGAAATCCATGAAACCATTGAAATTACATGACAAAATTTGGAGTCATTAGCATCTCTGTCTTTTTATGGCTTATCTTAGTTTCTAAACGGGATCTGTGCCCCAATTCCCCCAAAAAAGGTAAAAATTGTGATCTGTTTTAGGGAAGCCACTGAAAGATAGAACAGAAATGCCCACATGGATGAAAAGAGGTTCGTTTATCATAACTTCCTGATAGGCTGTGGCTTTGCTCTGACACTCTAGAATTACACTTCATTCCATCAAATATGCTCAGAATGCCAACAACACACAAAGTATCATAGTACATACTGCAGACCCAGTAGTATAAGAGAGCTGGGCTCTCAACCCTCATGGAGCTTAATCTACCCAGGGAAAAAGATATTAAACAACCAGCAGAAAACTGTTTAATCACAAATGCAATAAGTGCTTGGACAGAAAATACACAAAATGAACATACATAACACAGTACCTGCCTAGGAGTTAGAGGAGTGAAAAGCAGGTCAAAAAATGTCCATTTAAGAGACCTGAGTGGCCGGGTGTGAAGGCTCAGGCCTGTAATCCCAGCACTTTGAGAAGCGGAGATGAGAGGATTGCCTGAGTCCAGGGGTTCAAGACCAGCCTGGGCAGCCTCGTCTCTACAGCAAATCCAAAACAAAATTAGCTGGGCATGGTGGCATGTGCCTGCAGTTTCAGCTACTTGGAAGGGTGAGGTGGAAAGAGTGCCAGAGCCTAGCAGATCGAGATTGCGATAGCCATGAGCATGCCACTGCACTCCAGCATGGGCGACAATAGTGAGAATCCAACTCAAAAAAAAAAGCAAATCCACCTGCTATTAAGCATAATTCCTCAGTCATACTAAATCTAATGAACTACAATAATTTAAATATTTTCTGATTTTTACAGCATAAATTAAGGACACATTTTGATATCTTATTTTTAAGTCATCTATGAAATATTTTCATAAGAAGTAAACAAGATTCACCACCAGTAAGTAGCAAAAGTATTATGTTTGTGAAATATTTGCAAAAACTGTAGTCTTAAAAAGTGCCACCTGGCCAGGTGTAGTGGTA